TATATATATATATATATTTGAAATTTTTGGAAAAAACGATTCAGATAATTTTTCATAAGATGTACAATTTTTAAACCTTGCAATTTCAAAAATTAAACCTTAAAATTTTGAAGGATGTACTCTGCGCACAATGAGACGCACCAATTATAATTAGACCTTGAAATTTTTAGGTACCAAATTTCTTAGCCCCCAATGGTGGCGTCCGTTGTCGGCGGAATGCATCCCAACAAAATTATACGAATGAATGGGCGACCGGTGTCCCTGTGTAGCACTTTTTCAAAAAAATTAGTTTTTTCCCTCTCTAGAACTCCCAAAATTGCCCCTGCTATCTCCCATGGCTGAGATTCCAAGTTTTCATAGGGATTTAAAAACGATTGGGTTTCTATACGGCCAAACCCCCATAGGTTGAAATATGGGCCTCTTAATAAATATGTTTTTAAAATGGAATTTAAGAATTAATTTTTAGAAAAATTTATAAATATATAGCCGTTATAGTTTCCGTTATTACGGCTCTATCGAGTAGTTTTTGTTATTACCATCGTATTTATTTATTTTCATGTCAAAATAAAAATTTTAAAAAAAAACGACTTGTCCTTTTTTCCGTTGTTAACAATCGAATTCAAAATAAATTTACTGAGCCAATTTTGGTTTTTGAATAACCGGTTCTTCAAAGTAACTTTTTTCTTTTTTCTTTCTTATGGGTCTGCATATCATCTCTCTACATTATATCGGTAAAACTGATTTTTTTTTAAACTCTCTTTCCCTTTCATCGAGCTTCTAGTTTTTTTTATAAGTAAGTTGATAATCTCTAAGATTTCTATTAAATTTAGGGGCTCAAACGAGCTGTTTGCATGATTTCATCGGATAACCATTACTTCAAAGAGGTAGAGAGAGAACATGCCTCAAGATTTTTCCTAATCTTTTAATCTTATAATCCAGAAGATATTTCCTAAATTTAGGGGCTCAAACTAGTTGTTCGCATTTGATTTTATCGGATAACTATAACTTGAGAGAGGTAGAGAAAAAACACCCCAAGAGATAGAAAACATTTTTTCGGTTCATTAGTAACTGAAAAATTTAAATTTTATGTTCTCGGTGTTCAGCAATCGAAAAAAAGGTAAAATAGTTTTTTTTAAAAAAATTTCCATTTTGATATAAAAAATGGATATGGTGGTAATAACTGAAACTATTCGGTACAATCGTAATAATGGAAACTATATATGTTCATAAATATGAAAAAATAAATAAATTTTAAAAATTAGAAATAATAATTCTAAAAAAAAAATTTTAAACCATTAATTTCTATTGTTTTTAGATAGAACACCTACTTGCATCCATCTTCAAGATGGATGCTTCACACTTTTTAGACCGCATGTGGAGAAATGCGGTTCAGCCCGCATGAAACAATTTTCGAGGAGAAAGTCAAGATTCCAAGCGCGCATAGTAACAGGTGCGGGCTTGAACGCACCAAACAGTTCTCCGTTTCGTATTCCACGATGACGTGTAAAACGTTAAAGGCCGATATCATCCGTGTCTCTAAGGACACTATTGACACGTGCCAGCTTCCCCAACCGCCAGACTGGCGTCAATTCCTCCCCGTCTTGTGGGCCCCGCGTTCTCCCTTCTCTTTGGCTATTGCCTTGCCAACAAGGCACGAAGTGGGCCCCACTTGACCAGCAATCATGTGGACCCACGCGACCTTTCTTCTATTTTACTGTGTTCCCGCTTCTTTTTCCTTCAACGAATTTTCCCTTTTTCCTTTTTTTTCCTGATTTTTTTTTTTGGAAACTGGGGCTTCCTATAAATGGCACGCTTCCTGAGTTTCAGATCGGCCACGCGGTTCTCGTTTTCCCTCTAAAAACCTCTCTTAGAAAAAGCTCATTTGAAGCTAATTCTCTGTATCACTCAGCTTGAATTAGGGTCTTGAAGCTCGAGATCTCTGTGATTCAGGTGCTTATTCAGTGTCTCTTTTGCTATTATTTTTGGTTGTTTTTTGGTTTGCTGCTGTGTGAGTCTTGTGATTGAGGTTAAATAGTGTTTATGTTCAGGATCTCTGGTTTTTTATATATAAACGGGTAAAGATACATGGATCAGGGTTTTTTGTGTGTGGATTGGTATTTATGCTCTGCAACCAGAGTATAATTGGTCCTTGAGTCTCAAAATTGTGATTTTGATGTAAAATTTCGTGTGATGGTGATCAATCTGGGCATTTTTTGTATTAGAACTCGTTTTTGCATTTTGAATCAATGGAATGTTCTGGTTTCTTGGAACCTAGATCTGTATTTTTTTTTTCTAGAGAGGAATTGTAAAAATTTGATGAATTAGGCAATTATTTATTCCTATTTGGGAGTTGCATTTAACTCCAACAAGTTTTAAGAACAGAGAACAAAATTTATGCTCCAAATTTGGGATTTTTAACTATAATCATGGTAAAATGGCGATATGGCATGGCATTTGTCTCTGGATCTGTGAGTTCTTACAATGACAATGTTGAAATATCAAAACAATTTTGTATGGATCATCATTTACGCCTCTTGATCTTAGACATTTTATTTTTAAACCATAACAAAGTGTCGAAAGATAGAAAGTTTTAAATGTTTGAACACGAGCTGATTATTTTGTATGCTTTTTGGCCACACTTTTATTATTAAATTAAGGCCTCATGGAGAAGCGACTATGTACCCATAAGTTTCCATTGAACGGAATCATGTTGTGATCGGAATTAATTTTTTGGCGGTTAAAACGTTGAAAGGTAGATGAGGTATCAGTATGGTTCCATGTAATTGGGTGAATTGTATTATTATAAGTTGGGTGATTTGTGGGGTATTTCTTTCTCCATAGAGTTTGGGGTCATTAATTGTGCATTGTAGGTCAGCTTTCGGCATTGGATGACACATTTGTTTCTTTTTTTTGGAAACTGTTAACCCTTGTATTGAGATTTGTTGTAAAAAGTGAGAAAACGTGTTGACAACCCACATCCTTGGTGTTCTATACAAAAAGGTAGATGGCACTTGTTTTATTGCCATTTAATTGTATGTAACTTTGCTTACTAATTTTTTGGTTCACTTGAGAGTTTGAGATCTTGTGTTGGCATGAAATATGGTTAGCTAGTGTTACCATTTATCTTTTGTCTAGATTCATTGAAAGATCCGCTTTTTTGCGTTATGAACTCATCAACTTTTATTTATTCTACAATATTTTCCAGATATACTTTTTGAAGCAAGCTATTCTAAGCTTCATGGGCTCTGTTGTGGCAGAAGCGCCAACTTCATCCGTAACTGATAAGGTATTCTATGGTTTTAAGGCCTCTGTTGTTAATTACCTTTTGAGCCTGTATTATTCTTTTTAAAATTTCTACCAAGAGTTTTAAGTCCTTGTGCTTTGTTTTGCTATTTCATAAAAAAATAAAAAAGAAAGTTATTAGTGATTTCAGTTGGGATCAGCACTTTCTTCGTGCTAGCCATGAAGAAAACCGAGCAGTCATTTTCATTTGAATGTAGTTTTGTAAAGTGACTTTGATGGCTGATAGCAATAGATCAAGCAATATTTTCATGATTGTATTTTTCTCTTCATAAATATTGCTGGATAATAAGTTTACTTGACTTGGCACATTATGGACATTAGTATGAAAGAAGTGTACTCTACTGTCCTGCTCTTCTAAAACCCAGCCTCGCGGACCTATTATGGGCTGCGCGTCAACCACGTCATTTTCTTCCATTTTTAATGCAGTAAGGAGATCTCGAAGGATCTACCTCTTTGTTACTGTATTCCCTACAATTACAAGGCACCATGTTCCAGCTCTATTTGTCACACAGGATTGTAGTAGCTAATGATTTTGATTGCTCAAATGGATTGATTGAGCTCACTTGATATCTAGACACGATGAATGACATGTGTTTCATTTGTTTCCATGTGCATAACAATGTGCACAGATTGTGAAAGGTGTCCCACCTAGATCCTTGGAAGGTTTTACTGTTGCTTTTATGTTGTGTGTCAACTTGTTCAAATCATTATTTTGTTGTTCTCTAGTGCTAGCGACAAAAGCAGCTAGAAAAAAATAAAATTAAACAACATTAATAACATGAAAGGATTTTTGTGTGCTTGCTAATATCTCTGATGTATGCCTTGATTTTGTGGTTTCAACATTATTAAAGGATTTCAACTATCTTTAAAAAAAAAAAAATTCAGAGGAAGGGTTGGTTTCACATGGCTTTCTATGACGAATTGTACTCGGATCCTTTTGTCTGCTGTATATCTTAGTTGTAATATTTTGTTTTTCCTCCCAATAGTTATATGTCAGAGGCACCTCAAGCATGAAGCACAAACTCCCAATAGTTATAGAAACCTTGTCAGAGGCACCTCAAGCATGAAGCATCAACAAAAAGCCTCAAGTATATGCAGTCCCACGGAGGCTTAGATCTTAGAGTTTGACATGATCCTCCTGGTTGTAGCCTGAGCTTTAACAAGAAAGGCCACAGAAATGTTTGGAAATTCCTAAAATTTCCTACTACCATGCCACTTAACTCCATAACCCTTGGTCCTAGCCCTTGCCCTTATCTAGAGGGACCTACCAAACCTGTTTCTTTGCGCTTTAATCAGAAATTATGATTTTGTAATCCTTGGACCCTCTAAATCCCAACATGAGCTCCAAACTACTAGCCCCATGCCCAAAGCCCCATTCTTCAACCAGCTCAGTTGTAGGAACTAAGAACTGAGATCACGTACTTGGTAGCGGTGCCACTCCTGGAATCAATGGGAATTTGGCAATTTATGGGAATTGGTCACCAATAAAAACTACCTCTTGACATTTTCAGTTTCTCTCCCAGTTGCAAAGTACTACCTTAGCATTTCTGGTAAATTAGCCTAAGCCTTAAACGTGAAGACAAAAAGGTTATGGTACTCGGGGAAGAAATAGTTTATTTGCTTATTATAATATTGTGTCTTGGGTCACCAATTCTTTCTTATATTTAGCGACACCCTTGGAAAATCATTTGCATCATGCACTCCTTGCATGTTGTAGGTCTGTCCAATGTGAAGAATCAAATCAATCAGTAATTTAACAATGAACAGGGAAGCATATAAGGTTACAGGTGCATAAAATATTCCCGAATAGATAGTCAAATATTTTGTGCTTACATAGATTGTATTATTTTGTTCATATTCAAACAATTCTTCAGCTTTATTCATTAAATTCAGTATGTATGTGGTGTTCAGGTTACATGAATCATTTGTATGATATACTGGCTGTTTTTCATGTTTTTTAACTATTTGTTTTATTTTCGTATTTTATCAAAGATTCATTTTGTTATTTTTATGTTTATATACTTTGGGAAAAAAGTACGTTTTGTAGCTTACTTTTTCCATAACAAATTGGAATATAACATTCGGTGATTCGGCTAAAAGAAATTTAAAATATGAAAAGAGCATGTCTTAGGACAGATCAAAACAATCAAATCTAAGTGAAAAGTGAAAGTGAGTGAATGAATCTTTGAATGATTTATAGGTGGAAGATTTTACATTAGCTACCAAAAATGAATCAAATTGGCATTATCTCATATGAAGTTAACTTTTAAATACTTTCCCATAACTTATTGGATTGTCTGGAATCTAATAGATTATGTTGATTTCTTTTTATTTCTTTAATGCAGGTGGAAAATGGAAGCCAATTAGATGAGAAGAAGGTCACAGTTGTTTTTGTTTTGGGTAATCACCCTCAACGAGATTAGAATGTTGTTGCAACTGCACTTCTTTGACACTATGCTTGTTCTTGGTTGTTGCCTCTTTCCATGATGCTGTTGACCTCACAGACATTTTGGTTTCCATGACTTTGAGAACAATTTTAAGGGCTTTGTAAGATAAAAAAAAAAAAAAACAACTGAGAATTTTTTTATACATTGGATATTTGATATTTTAGTTAAAGACTTTGGATATCCTTACGTAGGGCCAATGGACAAAATTGCCTGTCTTTCTGTTAAAAAGATTATCTCTTACCCTCCCGGTCTTGAAAAAGAGATGGTGAGAGAGATTTTGCTGATCCCTTGCAAACCCATAGGCTGCTGAGACCCCTTTTCCTCTGTATTGTAAGTGGAGAGATAGGGAGGGATTGCTCCCTTTGTCTGGGGGATTCAAGCCATGACACTCAATTCCCAAATTTATTCCTGGTTACTATGGACCAGAACTAATGTGTCTCAGACACTTTTTTGAATCCTTGGGAGTAAACTGGTCTGGACCCCTAGGTTCGGAAGGGGCCTCACAGACGCTGAACTCGTTGTTTTTTATGCCTATTCTCTTCATCCCTATTTCCTTCCTGGCCTGTTCTCGGTTTCATCTTTCCACTAAGGATTAGGTATGATATTTCGCCTCAATCAGCCTGCTTGTAGGGCGTGGATTCTTCCCCCTTGGGGTCCAAAACTTTGTTTGGTTGGCCATCCACCAAAAGACACTCACGGTTGACCAACTTCAAAGGTGTGGCTTTGCAATGCCCAATGTCAGTTAAGAATTGGCTGGCCATTTGTTTCTTTGCTGTCCGACTATGGTACTCATCTGGAGTAGAATGCTACTTGAAGGCAAAGTTTGATCACCTGAGGCTGTCATGGATAGTATCAACGCTAGTGCAATAGCTTGGGTGACACAGTGGAAAGGTTTCAATGGTCTCACCATATCTGGCTCCCTGTTAAATTGGGTGACAGTAGCTAGGTCAAATCAAAATGCCTCCAACCTATCATCCTATTGGATCGCCTGGGAGCAAGGTACCATGAAACTTTAACTTTGATTGTTGCTTGTTCAGAAACCCTGGTATTTCAGGTGTGGGGGGAGTTTTCAGAGACAGTCGGGGAGCCATAATTTTGTCTTTATTGGTGCCCGTTGGAGTAGAGACTTCAACCATGGCAGAAGCCCTTGCTTTACTTCAAGGACCCAAAATGATCTGCCAGGAAGATGGGGAACGGCCCTTATGGTTGAGGGAGGCTCCAAAAACATCATCAATGGTCTAAGAGAAACTACACATGCCTGTGGAGAGGCATCTGGGTCTTCTCATAAATTTTTGAACTTAGTGGCCGGATCACATCTCCTTTCAGCACATTATGCGCGAAAGCCAAATAGCATAGGGGACAGCCTGGCCAAATAAGGGGCCCAGAGCGTCCGTCATCAATCACTCCTTGGAACCTGTCAGCTACAGTTTTGTTGCATACCCTGTCTCTGGTCCTTTTTTTGAGCAGTTTGAGTTTTCTTTCCTTGGTCATTTTTGTTAGGCCTTAATACTTAGATTCTTTTTCATACATACAGTATTGTGACAATTGTAACATATCCTTCTATTTTCATACAATTACGGCCAACTTTATCAAAAAAGGGTCTCCTTCCTTGTTTTAGAGTGAAGAGAGATTGTACAAGCCTGTGCATCTAATAGAGAGAGAATTGAATCTTGTTGATTTTGCTGCTTATTTCTCTTCGTTTTGGTTGTTTTCTTAAGGTCAGAAAACCTAGGATCTCTCTCTCTCTTTTCCATTTTGCTGCTTATTTCTCTTCGTTTTGGTTGTTTTCTTAAGGTCAGAAAACCTAGGATCTCTCTCTCTCTTTTCCATCAGAAAAACTCTTTTTCTTGGGAATTAAACTTGCACACAGGTTTGCCCATAAATGATTTTAAAGGTTCCTTCTTCTTTGGCGTCAAAATTGGAAAACACATAATAAAACCCAAGTGTGAGGGATTTTTGAGAATCTGATCTTTGATGATTGTTTTGGCCAAGAAGTTGCGGAGCTTTGTTGATCCTTTTGTTTCAGGTTTAGGGGGTTGAATCTTTTCTTCATTGGGAGGGGAGTTTCAATAATCTCTTGCTGCTTTCTTTTCCACCTACTGGTTATGAGAAGAATGGTAGTTATGGTGGCTTTCTGATTAAGGTTTGTGGGCCCTTGCCGCCTAATTATGATTTCTTGATGGCCTGCCCGCTTGTGTTGGTGACCACTCCTTAAAATTGTGGTACCTTTGGCCTGTGATTTTATTGGGAAACTCAATGTTCTCAACTATTATTTGGAAACTGTATCAGGTTAAATACAGTTACCTAGGCAAGTCGCATACTTGATGGTTCCCTGAAAATCTTTCCTGAGGTTATGTAATTAGGTTGTAGACATATTGAGGGAAAACATTGTTATAGAGACAAACAAGGGGCTGAACTTTGCTGTGCGGTGAATAATCAATTGATCATCTAAATAGTCACATAGAGGCAGGGAAATCCAAAGTCGCCATCATCATCATCCAGGCCCTATTCCAACTAGTGGGGGTCAGCGAATTTATGATAGAGATGTGGCAAAGGTTTTACGCTGGCTGCCAAACCTACCACAACCCTCCTTTCTCATTCGGGCTTGGACTAGCCATGGCGGAGTTGCAATGATATTAAAAGTCATAATCTAAAATACTAGATCTCCATAGTTAGAAAAACATTTCAATGGTTTTTCTCTTAAAAAACCCTAATTTCAATTAGGAGATGGATTAACCTTGTTTCTTCTCTCTGGAGTTTTGGAGAATATCAATCAATGGTTGTTTATGATGTAGTTTACTATGCACAGAATATATATTACTTCTCTGGTTGACATGGGATGTTAAGTTCTTTTTTGTTCTAAAAGGATGTACAAATTAACTATCGCTTGTTGGTATCGGAATAAACTCTGTAGGTTTTAATGAAGCCCAATAGGGACCGAGGATCTAGTGAGGACTCTACTTTTGTTAAGCAAAGTTTGGAAATAGTCGCCTAGGAAGATCGGGCCAGTGAGGACTCTACTTTTGTTAAGCAAAGTTTGGAAATAGTCGCCTAGGAAGATCGGGCTCTTTCAAGGGCCGGCCTCCTAGCTGGAGTTTGGGTGACATTCACCAGCACTGCAAGAAGATGCCGGGTGGAAGGGCCAATGATAAATACCAAGGCATGGTGTTGAACCGACACTCTATGAGGATTTTGAGGGGAGGGGATCTTATGAAAGGCCAGAGTTGTTTGAGAACTTTGAGGAGTTGAAACTGTAGCAACAAAAGGGGCAATACCTTGAGTATGAGGCAAGGTCCTAGCAAGAACCAGGGCTCTACGACCAGGATAAGAAACCGGAGCTCTACTAAGAGCCAGCTTTCCAGCTTTGTTGCCTTGGCACGTGAGATTTTGGTACTCGGATGGACAGAGGGTTGGTTAGGCCTGGGCTGTTACCAAAGGGGCTTTCCCAGTGCCTTGGTCCATTAAGGTCACTATGACTTTAGTTCGGTTGCTCGCGTGTCGAATATGAGGTCACAGCCGATGTGCTTTATGGGCCTTTTTAGACCAGGACCTCATACATAGGCTTCGAATGATCAATTATGGCCCCTTGAAAATCCTGAGCCAAAGGGTGAGCACTTAAGTGGTAGCCCCATGGGATGGTGGTTTTGATTTCTACTTTTTGCAGGAGAAAGGCACCTGGCATCGTGATGGCAACGACCATGAAGAATCCAACTGTAGCAGACATCAGTTACCTGGCAGAAGGACACTGCCTGGTATTAGAAACTTATTGAACTTCGAGAGAATAGAAGATTAATCCAGCCTAAGGATGAAAGGCGAACTCCACCCCAGTGGAGCCACCAGAAATTTGATCCCCCAAAATGTGTTTCAAAGAAAAAGAATACAGAATAAACCCCAAGTAAAAGAAAACTCGAGAGAAACACACAATGGGAAACCAACTAAGTCTTGATCGTGTCAAAATCAAGAGCTTTTGTATTAATCCTTTTCTAGGATATTGGCCACTTTGCAAAGATCATTTACAATGATTTTCGTAAAGCTTGATGCTAAAAAAATAAAAAATAAATAAAGATTGTAAAGTATCATCTGTTTCAACTATGACTGCAGTGGTTATGATGTCGAGCCTTTTCTGATGCAAATCCCATTGAACTCCATTGTACATTCTTCCTTTTTATTGACTTTCAATGATTGTATACCTCTTAAGGACATGTAAATACATTCTTCCTTTTTAATGACTTTCAATGATTGTATACCTCTTAAGGACATATATATACATTCTTCCTTTTTATTGACTTTCAATGATTGTATACCTCTTAAGGACATGTAAATTCTATGATCCAGAAATCTTGAAAGATCCTGAGGTTTCATTTCTCAATTCTTGAAGGAGTTCTGTGGCTTCAGGCCCTGTTAACCCGAACTTTTTTATCACATTTTCTTCCATGTTTATCACATCTTTATTGTCTACTATCCTTCTGTAACTGCTTCCACATGTCGGACGATCCACAGCCAGCTAAGAAATGAGGACTTTTCAAGTTATCCCCAATTTCCAGGAACTCGAAGGCCAGATAAGCCCAGTGCGCATGTTCCACCATTGTCTAGACCAGTCTTGATCATCGATACCATCAAAGCCACATTTGCTATCACCTCAACTCCCACACTCACAGATCTAACTCCACCGTTGCTTATACCCACCCTAACTCACATCAGACCATAGAGGAATATCATTATATTAAACTAGTTCTATCTCGATTATACGAGTTTCTTGGTGAGAGCTGTCTCATTTTCGTGTCTTTCTCACATCCTATGTCCCTCTCTCTGAGGTGCACCCGCTACCAATGAAAGGGTATCATTCTGACTTTTGTTTTTCTTTACTTCAATTCTAATACTCAGATGCCAAAGACTAACAAAAAGTCCTGTGGTTGAACATTCCCTCCCTGTACCCTCTGCCCTACCTGTCTAAACATCACAAATGTGGGTCTCAGAAAGCCTTCTAATTGCTGCATCAAATTTTTCACTTCCATTTGGTATCTTCCCCCTAACTTTACATTCTAGTGCACATTCTTCATGTACTTTCCCCAGATGTGGTGTCTTTTCTACATTTTCTACATTATCTTTTGCCAAATCCCAACCAAGCTAAGTTCATTTTACAGTAGACAAAGATGCTCTGCTGAGTCGGTATTAACAGGAAAAAAGGAAGGATTTGATCAAATGGCTTTACATTAATGAAAATGAGTAAACATATTGAAATCTTGAAGTATATAAGAAGGATTATCTGGCTCTCCAGTGCCTATGGTGCTTTGCTAGGCTGTCCAGTTTCGGTCCAACCGCTGCCTATCTTTTGGTTTTCTTCCATAGTCCAACCGCTACCTATCTTTCAGTTTTTTCCATAGTTTAAATCTCAAACAGAAGAGCAGTATAGCAGGAATTCAAGTTTGTACAAATATGAGATGTACAAGTGGTCTCCTCCTTCAAACAAGGCAATATTGTAACAAGAAGAATGCAATTTCTCTACAAGTACAAACAAAGAGTGTTGCCTGCCAACACGATTATCTCAAACCAATAGTAAGTGACAGGCAACGCTAGAAATAGTATATTGGCTCAAAGCTACCTCAATTCTCAAAATCATGAACACGATGACCATGAACACAAGGAGTAGGCTCCTTCATCGTTCAGATGATTTCTAGCACCATTTGTCATCACTATTGTGCATGAATAGCTCTACGACGAAGCCAAGGGTAATATTGAGATACACAAATTGTCAGATGCAAATGGAAATGGATCACTGAGAAAAGCAAGGACTTTAATGGCACAAAAGTAGCATATTTACTCTTGTTTTCTGATCATAGCAATGAAATATTGAAGTTTCACGACAAAGACCATGGAACGATGTAGAGCATTGTATCCATGGTGCCTAGGTTTCCATTCAATCCCAATCAGAAACAAATATACTAAGTCTCAGAAACTTAGTGCCAAAGTCAAACACAACCAGGGAGAGAAGATGACTCTATAATTTAAACTCTAGAGTTTGTTATTAAAAAAATTTGGAAAGATTAAGGGGGCGAAAAAAAAACAAAAAAAAAGATCTTACCCATTTGTACAAAACCAGAGGTTTCCTCGTTTTTCTAACAATTCAAATCAGAACCAAAGCATAACCAAGTATTAGAAATATGATGGCATACATATCCAGGAAGAGGAAGCGTCCAGCCGTAAAACCAAGATATCTATCCATCACAAAAAGGAAAAGGAAGAACTTGAAAAATTAGTGTACGGTATTGATGAAAATCAACCATGGCAAGCAGAAGCAGTATTCAACTCAGTACCAAGAAAAGTTCGAAGTATTGGAAGGAAAAAAGAGAACTTACCATTGCTTGGCTCCCATAACTTAAAAATAGGCCACAGAATTGGTCTACATGAGGATAGTTGGCACAAACCATGGCCTGACCAAGCCTTATGACTGTTGTAAGATTTCATTGCTGAAATTACCAGCTTTATGACTATTGGCATAAATCATTTCTTATGATGATTTCATTTCTGAAATTACTGGCCTTATGACTGTTGTAAGATTACCCGATCTTTCTTTCTCTTTTTATAAATCTCTAAGAAAAGGCAGAAAGCTAAAGAATCCAGTCTCTATTTATTCGTCATTTTGTTATCTCTAAGAAAAGGCAGAAAGGTTCAATGACAGTCTCTATTTATTCATCATTTTATTATCTCTAAGAAAAGGCAGAAAGGTTCAAGGATTTTGTGCAATGTACATTAATTATGGATCAATACTCCACGAAAGAGTATGTTAATTAATCATGAACGAACCATCCATTCTAGAAATGTTGAAGTGAAGTAAAGAAACTCATTGGAATGAAAGAAATAACCATGTGAATAAGAAACTACCAAATTGAACAGAACAATACCAAATGTCTTGTTCATACATGAACAGGCGGTCCAGGTAGCGGCAAGGGAACTCAATGTGCAAACATTGTCGAACACTTTGGGTTTACCCACCTCAGCGCTGGTGACCTCCTCCGAGCGGAAATTAAATCAGGGTCCGAGAATGGGTATGATGCTAATCATTTTGCTCAGAATATATTCCTTTCAGTAGATGTTTTCAAACTTGCAATGGGAAAATGATTTCCATTTTTTAAACTGTTTGCTGATGGCTTATTATTTAAAATGTACCCTTTATGTCATCTTTATCTTGCATGTCTTGATTTCTTGCTTTTTCTTTTGAACTTTGCAGCACCATGATACAAAACATGATAAAGGAAGGAAAGATCGTTCCCTCAGAGGTTACGGTAAAGCTTCTTCAACGAGCGATGCAGGAAAATGAAAATGACAAGTTTCTCATCGATGGATTCCCTCGAAATGAAGAGAACCGTGCTGCCTTTGAGAATGTTGTAAGGCTAATCATTATATTAATTTATTTCCCCATAGCAACAAATGTCTCCATTTCTTTTAAATTTTTTTTGAGATTTTCAAAATGGAATATTTTTCCTCTGTATCGTGATATTTTCGCCCTTTTTATGGTGATCCTTTCTTGCAATTGCTTTCAGAGGAGTAAAATTATGCTCTAGGATATGAGTTTATAGAAACTTAAATTTTTTTGTATTTTCGCGTAGCATTTCCCAGTAATTTCTGAAGAAAACCCACCCAAAATCTTGCCAGCTTTTTAGAAATTTTCTTCTTAAAAATTTCCTTAGAGCAAGATTTATCGGTGCTATTTCCTCTAGACAACTTCAATGGAATTAGTAAAACATGCATTTCATGGGTAATGATCTCAGGCTACTTCCTTCAAAGATGGATAAAAATTTTAAACACCTTCTTTCATGAGTCGTCTTTGTGAAGTATTCCTTGTGCCTTTATGTGCTCGTAAATAATTGAAACTAATATATCCTATGCATTTTCTAACTTTTTCCAGACAAAAATTGAGCCTGCCTTTGTATTGTTCTTCAATTGCTCAGAAGAAGAGATGGAGAAGCGGCTTCTAAATAGAAACCAGGTTAGAGAGAATGGGAGTTAGCATTCTCGAACAGTTGCCTGTATCTATCATGGGATATCTATTGCTGATGGCATGATCTTTTTCGTGTAATGAAGGGGCGGGACGATGACAACATAGAGACCATAAGGAAACGGTTCAAAGTTTTCATTGAGTCGAGCCTACCTGTAATTGAGTATTACCAAGCAAAAGGCAAGGTTCACGAGGTAAATCTTTTTATAATTCTATAAACATCTTCTTCTAATGATATAAACTTAGCATGGACGTGGTTAGCATCTCATTAGTGATTTTTTCAAAGGTGAGTGAAACTTGCATTCACCAACAGTTTGATTCTTAGAATACATAAAAAGTGAACTGTACTTATCATGTATGAACATTGCTGCAAGTTCTTTTCGTATTTGCTTATTACATATTCCTGTTTCCTATTTCCCATTTATTCATTGATATCCTTTTGAATTGCAGATTGATGCAGGGAGGCCTAGAGAGGAGGTTTTCGAGACCATCAAAAACATTTTTGCAACTTTTGCCAAAGTAAGCTATTGCAAGAATAGCATCCAGTTATCTAATGAGTTCATTTTAATTTGTCATGAGCAAGTGCGAGAAAGAAAGAAAGAGAGAGAGAGAGAGAGAGAGAGAGACTCTATTTGCTCTGTCCTTGGTTGACAATATTTGCTGGATGTGTGAACAGGAAAGCAGTGAAACAGGCAAATATGTTGACAACTGTGTCAATGTTATGACGGAAGTCCATATCGATTAAGGTAACACTAACTACAATACTTTCCCATAAGAAAAACACTAACTAAAATGTTTTATCTTGCAGAAAGATAAAAATAATAATATTGCAGTGTGTTTATCCTTTTGCAAAACTATGGTTCTAAAAAAGTGCTCAGGTCTTTTTTGCCTATGCATGGAAGTCCCTAATCATCTTTTCAGTGTCAATCATGGGTCAAAACCAAATTCTTTCGTTGTCGAAGTTTGAAACATTTAACATATATTTTTTGGTTACCTGAGCTGTCTTTTGTTTTCTTCTTTGAAGTTGTTTTGCAGGGCCTCCTTTTTGTTCCAATAGCCATTATATTGAAGCATTAGGAAGTAAAAATATGAGATCTGTAATACTAATTTTTTGGAAAGTGGGGTCTGTAATAATATATGAGATCTGTAGTACTATGAGAGATAAGGAAGTGATTCCATGTCCTTAACCTTTAATGGATAGTATATGCTTGATTTATTTGGTAAAAGCATTTTTGTAGCATGTTTCTTGACAGTTTATATATTATGAAAGTTTTTTTATTCTTTTGTGGGCGTTCATACGATTTCTGTAGGTGGTTTAGAATTTTAGATGTGAGTGGTCAGGCAAGACGTACAATACTGGTTTAAGATTCAAACTCTAGCTTGCTCACCCAAAGAAACATTGTTGGTACCATACACCAATTTTGTAATGTATGTTTACATCAATTGAGCAAGGGGGCATCAACAGTTGTGCCTGGTAATGAGTGCTTGTGATTAGCTCTTGGATGAATGAATGCCAATGGTAAGTACAGTTAAATCTCCACTGCCGTTTGTCTTGAACAGATGATGAACGCTCCCGTATGGTTTACCTTATGATGTGAATGAGCACCTTATTTTAATTAGGGGAAATTTATCAAAATATCCATAAGAAATGAATGATTTAATAGGCGATATGGTCTTATTGAGGATATGACCTTTAATAAAACAGAATGGAGAATTAGGATTCATGTAGTCGATTTCAATTAATTGGAAAATAGTTAAAATGATGGTGATGATCTATAAGAAATAATTTACTTAGCGTTATATCTTTTTCAAGCTATTTCAAGTCATGATCATGTGTCATGGGTATTTTCAAATCAACTCAATTTGGATTTTATTATGCCGGGCATGACAAACTTTTGGGGGAGCAAATCTTTTACTGGTTTCCTTGTGCCAAACAAATTCTTAAGTGCCAAAATCCACCATTTGGATTGCTTAATTACTAGGATGCTTAATTATTAAGATACTTAAAATCAGGAAAATTAAAATAATGAAAGTAAAACTTACTTTTCATGATTTCATTTCCACACTGAAGCCTGTTTTTTTGCATTTCCAAGGCCCATGGATTTCACTCATTCGCTTCTTGTACCCAAAACATAGGGAGCATTTGGTAGGTATGAAAATTTTAGAGAGAGAGTACTTAAATTTTTTAAAGAGAAAATCTATCTCAAAATATTTAGAGAGAAAAACTGTATCAAATTTTAACTTTTAGAGAGAGAGAGTATGTTAAAATTTTAGAGAGAGAAAGTATGTTTTTTATAAAGAAGAGAGATAAAGTATGCTAAAATTTTAAAGGGAGAAAGTACCAAATTTTTTTTGAGAGATGAACTATCTCAAAATTTAAAAGAGAAAAACTATCTCAAATTTTAACTTTTAGAGAGAGAGAAAGTATATTAAAATTTTAGAGAGAGAAATAACCAATTTTTTTAGAGAGATGAACTATCTCAAAATTTAGAGAGAGAAATTATCTCAAATTTTAACTTTTAGAGAGAGAAAGTTATTAAAATTTAAAAGAGAAAGTATGTAAAAATTTTAGAGAGAGAGAGAACCAAATTTTTTTAGAGAGATAAACTATCTCAAAATTTTAGAGAGAGAAACTATTTCAAATTTTAAGTTTTAAAGAGAAACTATCATATTTTAGAGAGATAAAGTACATGCCAATTTTTAGAGAGAGAAGCTATCTCAATTTTTTTAGAGAGAGAAACTATTTCAAAACTTTTAGAGAGAGAAACAATTTCATAATTTAATTTTTAGAGAGAGAAACTATATCAAATCTTAGGTTTTAGAGAGAGAAAGTATTCTTAAACTTTTAGAGAGAAATTATTATAAATTCTAAAAGGAGAAACTGCCAAAAAAATTTAGAGAGATAAATATCTCGTTTTTTAGTTGGAGAAACTATCTCGAATTTGGAATTTTAGAGAGAGAAAATATATTCTTATAAAGATAAAAATTATATGCAATTTTAGAGAGAGACACTACCTAAAACATTTTAGAGATAGAAACTATCTCAAAATTTTTGGAGAGAGAAACTATCGTAAAATTTATGTTTTAGAGAGATAAAGTATTTTAAATTTTCGGAGAGAAACTATATCAAATTTTAGATAAACAAAAGTTCATGAAATTTTTAGAGAGAGAAACAATCGCAAAAAAAATTAGAGAAAAACTATATCAAAATTTAAGTTTTAAAGAGAGAAAGTATATCAAATTTTACACATTATCAAATTTTTAAGAGATAAACTATCTCAAACTTGAAGTTCTAGAGAGAGAAAGCATCTTAAAATTTAAGAGAGTAATTATATCAAATTTTAGAAGGAGCAAACATCTTAAAATTTATGAGAGTAATTATATCAAATTTTAGAGAGAGAAAGTACATAAAAATTTAGAAAAAAAAACAATTGCAAAAAATTTAGAGAGAAATTATCTCAAATTTTAGCTTTTAGAAAGATAAAATATCTTAAAATTTGAGAGAACAACTATATCATATTTTAGAGAGTGAAACTACTTAAAAATGTTTAGAGAGAGAAACTTTCTCAAAATTATTGAAGAGGGGAACTATCTCAAGTTTTAAGTTTTAGAGATAGCGTATCTTAAAATTTTTGAAAAAGAAACTATATTAAATTTTAGAGAGAGTAAAGCACCTAAAAATTTAGAAAGAGAAATTATCTCAAAATTTTTAGATACACTTTCAAATTTTAAAGATAGAAAGCATACTAAATTTTAGAGAGAGAAACCACATCAAATTTTAGAGATAGAAACTATCTCAAAATTTTTATAGATACACTATACCAAATTTTGAGTTTTAGAGAGAGAAAGCATATAAAAACTTTGGAGAGAGAAATTGTATCAAGTTTTGTTACCAAACAATGGATATGGAAGTGATTTGTGTATAGTTTATCCAAACAAGAAATTTGAGGAATCAATGACAAAAATCCTTGATATTGAAAATCCATAAATTTCTTTAGGATTTCAAATATCTAAGATTCTTAATTTCATCCTATCCAAACAGGCCCTAAGAGGGTTTGTGTAATCTTAAATTTTGGGAATTTCCTTACAACAATGGATAATTTAAATAAAAAGGAAGTTTTTGAATGGGGGTATTGAATGGGCAGGGTCGACCTACCTATCTTGACCTATAATTGATCAGAGTTGGGTCTAGGTCTATTCCAATCCTTAGGTTTAGGTTGAGTTTGAATAACTTATATACTTTTGTTTTGTATGTGGAGCATTTTTTTTGTAATAGTATTTTTAGTCATTAGGACGGGTGTGATATTATCCATATGAGATGAAGCATCATTTACATGGAGCATTAAACGACATTAGTATATTTTTTATGTGGATGATGTTATACCTCTCTTAACGATAAAAACCCTTATTTAAAAAATGTTTAATGTATAAAACAAGAGTATATAATTGTCTAAAATTTGTTGAGTATAATGATAAATTCTTTCATAGTGTGAGCACGATCTCTCTCTCTCTTTATATATATACATATATAGTGAGAGAGAGATCCGTGGTTTTAGGGTATGTAATCAATTTTTTTTGGTGGGCCTAAAAATTCTCCTAGGCTTTTTGCTTGAGGGAGCATATGAGGACCATTTAATCTTATCCATAATTACTAATTTTTGTTATTCGACCACCAGTCATGAGACTTAATTATTTTATTTCTCTGTTGAGGATACTTACGAAACTTTCACTAAGAGGAGAATTTGGCAAAAGGCTTATTGATTTGATATGGTTGATTTTTAAGGGGAAAAGTAGATGAAAAATGAAGGAGACTCCTCCAATTGCAAGGGAGAATTCTCCATTTATATAATTTAACGACAAAGATCCATTGTTATATAATTTAACGACATAGGTCCATTGTTATAATCCCCATGATAGGTATCTAATAGATGATGGCCTTCTCTTTTTTTACTGTTGTTCTTTGAAAAAATCCCTACTTTTGAGATGGTGATGTGTTGCATTGGATGTTCTAAAAACAGAAGCAAGCCGTTGGGGCATAGCATATGAACAATGTCATACAAAGAAAGGAATGTTGATCATGATAATAATACTTGCCCTTTATAAAAGTAGGAAGTAGTAAGTGGGAGCATGGCATCTATTATGAAATGTCTCTATCTTGACCCTAGAAAAGGATTGATGGAGAATATCCGCATTTCTGAACATGGATACCTCAAAGGCTCAAACCAAAGTCGTCATCGACATCATCATCATCTTCCGTCTTTTTTCGCTATTTAGATTGGTTACATAAATCTTTTAGTTTTTGGCAAAAGTCATCATCTTCAATCTTTTTTCGCTATTTAGATTGATTACATAAATCTTTTAGTTTTTGGCAAAAGTCTTACATTGTCTGCCTATTTAATGCAACTCACTTTCTTTACCCACCTTTCGGAGAGGTTATACCTCATTTACCTGGGTTTGGGACGGTGTAATCCTTTCGTTTTTTGCAAAGTCTTATTTTGTCTGTCTATTTAATACAACTCATTTTCTTTATCCACTTTTAAGAGGGGTTATACCTCATTTATCTGGGTTTGGGACGGATTAAGCGAAAGTTCAAGATCCTCATCCTTCTTAGATCAAAAGGCTCAAACCAAAGTAATGAACTTGAAAACAATATTTAAATTTAAAGAAATCTCCTATCCAAATTGGGATTGGGGCTAACTTGAATCGAACCGGATTGGGAGGCTGGCAATTTTAGGCTGGACAATCCTAGAATAGCCCGAGTATCCCGGTTTTTCTGTACTTCTAAAATTTTCCAGTTAAAATTTCCAAGTGGTAGAATTTGAGCCTAGGTCTGACTTTCTGAACACTTCTTAAAAAACCTGAATCAGGAAAACTAAACAAATGTATTTGCTTTAGAAAAAATAGCAATCGTGAAATGGTTTATTGAAAAGTGTGAACAAAAACTAAGAATAACATTAAAAGCAACTCCAAAGAACATGTAGGGAGAGTTATGGCAAATAAAGTCCATCAACAATACCTGAGCTTTATTTTTCTGAAAAATCTATTGTTAGTTTTAAAAAATGAACAAAGAAGAATATATCATAAATGATATTGAATAATTCATTATTATTTCAGGTACTAATATAACGGTTGACAAGCATGCATTAATTTCAATATTAAAAAAAAAAGTAAAGAGAAAAGAGAGATGCATTATTTCAATTAGTAAAATATACATATAAAAAACTAAAATAGTATATTTTAATTTTAGGTGATATGAATGTGTTTTGGTAATTTTAAAAATCTTGAACATTAATTTTTTATCTTTTTAGAAAATCGCCTTAATATGTCCAAATCTAGGTTACTTGCTCTGATTATTTCATGGGAGGTTTTTGTATGGATGTACTTGAGAAAATTTCACTCAAAGTCAAATAATAAGAAAACTACAAAACTGAAAAATTTAAAACAGAAAAATTATAGCTACAAAAATGAAAATTTTAAAACAGAAAAATTATAGAAATTTTAAAAGGGAAGCAACTTTTTCCCCTCTATAATTTGCCTTTTTATATGTACATATTTTACCCTCTCTTTTTTTTTTTTACAATATATGTATTTATTATACTTCTCATGTCATTTTGTTTAAACTGAGATTTGTTTATGGATAAAATAGAAAGACACACATGTAACTTGATGACCGCTTCATGAACTTGTATACGTTTAATATATACAAGGTTTAAAAAACGGTATCGGTGACCCAGATTGGCCACTCCAAAAATCGTGTCGGATCGGTGGATCGACAATTCGGATTGGAGAACTGGCCGGTTTTGACCTATTTTTTTTTAAAAAAATGCACTATAATTTCTAAAAAATCTTTCACAAATCTAGTTTGGTAGGTTTCTAAAAGAAATAGACGTGATTGCATTATAGTTTTTCATTAATGTATTAAAAAGATATAAATACTGAGGACCTGTCTTATATTGAGTGTTTGTTGTCTATTACATCCATTTTATAATCAAAATAAAGTTTAAAATGCAACATGACAATAAAATGAATTTTTCTAACTCAATTTATTTATTTTACTATTGTATTAATTTAAAAAATTTTATTTTTGAAACAAGCTATATGGAACAACTTTAATAAAAGAGGTTGTTAGTACGTATAGAGGGAGAAAGAGAGAGAGATAAAATTTTAGTGGAATTAATTTTAGTTGAATTATTAATGAAACAAACTTTGTAAAGAGAGAGAGGCGCCAAGGTTGGGAGAGAGAAACGAGACTATTTGCCGCCAAGGTTGGGAGAGAGAAGCGAGTAAATTTGCCGCCAAGGTTGGGAGGGGGATAGAGAGGGAAGAGGGACTATTTGAGAATCGTTAGGGCCCATTTGTTGCGGGACTTTTATATGATTTTTAGGAGTTTTTATTACTATTGTATTAATTTAGGAGTTTTTATTACTATTATATTAATTTAGGAGTTTTTATTTTTGAAAGAAACTATATGGAACAAATTTAATAAAAGAGGTTGTTGCTATAGACAGAGATGAAATTTTAGTGGAATTAATTTTAGTTGAATTATTAATAAAACAATCTTTGTAAAGAGAGAAAGAGATGCCAAGGTTGGGAGAGAGAAAGAGAGAGAAGCGGGACTATTTGCTGCCAAGGTTGGGAGGGGGACAGAGAGAGAGAGAAGAGGGACTAGTTGCCGTTAGGGGGAGAGAGAGAAGCGGGACGATTTGCCGCCAAGGTTGGGAGGGGGACAGAGAGAGAGAAGATGGACTATTTGCCGTTAGGGAGAGAGAGAGAAGAGGGACTATTTGCCCCAAAATGGCTATTGTTGGGGCATTAAACTAAAAAATTTAACAAGAAAGCGGGACTATTTAACTTAACGGTGAGATGCGACCTATTTATCCTGCATCGAAGAAACAAAAGGAGGGAGAGCTTCAATAGAATTCTCACACTCTACCACTTGAAATGTGCTTTTGTTTAGCACATGCTCTTGGCTTATGTGTCCCTATTTGAGAGTCGTTAGGGCCCACTTATTGGGGGATTTTCATATGATTGTTAAAAAATATAATTGAAAAAAGGAAAAATAAAATACCTTTGAAAAAAAGGAAATTATCTCCACATTTGCTATTTTTAGATTTTATTTCTTAATAAACTCAAGGTTTCAAAAAATATCTTCCGATGTCACATTTTATTTCTTAATAAACTCAAGGTTTCAAAACATATCTTCCAACGTCACATTTTATTTCTTAATAAACTCAAGGTTTCAAAAAATACCTTCCAACGTCACTTTAGCTTATTGGGAAACTTTTACATGATTTAGAAAAAAATACAATTGAAAAAAGGGAAAATATCTCCATATCGTCTATTTTTAGGTTTTATTTCTTAATAAACTCAAGGTTTCAAAAAATATCTTCCAACACCACTTTAAATATATTTTTTTAATCGAAACAAATGTGAGAAAGACATGCTCTTTTTAAACCCAATCCCTATTTTTTAAACTAAACAAATGTGAGAAAGACATGCTCTTTCTAAACCCAATCCCTTCTCTCTTCATTTATATACTCCAAACTTCTCTGTTTCTTTTTTTTTGAGAGAAAGTTTAAATATATTATTAATCTAGAACGAGATTACAAAATCCAAAATAACGGCTTTAGAGATGGTAGATCGTCCTTTGGCCAGGGAATCAGCTAGCACATTAGCCTCCCTGTACACATGAACAAAGAGACAGAAAAGGAGGAGAAGAGATCTAAAATATGAAATAACAAAGATTTTAACTCCCAATGAAGTTTCTGATTCCCTTTGCACAATTTCACAACATTGAGGGAATCCCTTCAATAACGTAAGAAGTCTCCAAATTCCTCTCCACAAGGGAACGAAGGCCAAAGAAAAGAGCAAAGTTCTCTACATAATTCGCAAACCGCACCCCAAGTGGCCCTGCATAGGAGAAGATCACATTACCCATCCAATCTCGAAGAACCCCTCCAAAACCAGCAAGACCCGGGTTACCCAATGAGCTACCGTCAAAGTTGAGCTTATAAACCTCCAAAGGTGGGACCATCCATCTGCCTTTAGGTATACACTTTTGGAAACCCAATGGGAAAAGGTTAAAAAGATTACATCTCACATCCACTTTAGAAAAATTCTGTTCACAACTCGTAACAGAGAGGTACAACCAAATGGAATGCAAGATTTTTTCCAAAATTTTTCGAACCGGCAAAGAGATACCTTCAAACATTTTTTTATTTCCCTCTCTCCAGATCTCCCGCAGAATGACACCTCTAGAGATTTACCATACAACATTCCCAGTCCTTGGTAAAGTACCTGAAAGATTATGAAGCACCCTAATCACCGACGGTGGCATTACCAATGCAGCCCCAAGCTTATCAAAAAACCGCCTCCAAGTGCGATTGGCAAACGGACAATGGAGAAAGAGATGATCACCAATCTCTCCGTCTTCCTTGCATATGAGATACATATTTGGTAAAAATTTTCCTCTTTAAATCAGATTATCAACCGTGACAACTCTGTTTTGAACCGCTAACCAAAGAAAACCTTGCACTTTGAGAGGTGGGGGTCATTTCCACAAGATAGCTATTTCAAGCATAGACCATCGCACCCTATCATGGTAGAGTAAATGATACATAAATTTAACTGAATAAATCTCATTTTTGTCAATCTCCCAAACTACTTCATTAGAAGTATTATGCGTGATATAAACAACTGTCAATAGTCTATGAAGATCAGCAAACTGAGATAAAACCAAATCAGAAACCCTATTATAAGGCAGAGTAATATTCCACTCGACATTACTACCCCTGTACATAAAAAACTCGACAATAATGGCTTCTTGATTAGTCATCAAATGATAAATCAAATGAAAACTTAATTTCAATGGGCAGTCCCCCGACCATTTATAATGCCAAAAGGAGATATTGCAGCAATTACCTACACACCACTGAATATCACGATGTGTAAAGCCTTTACACGAATGGATAGCCCTCTAGTTGGCTGACATGCCCCTTACTCCATTCCTATTCTCCACCCACATACCAAACCTATCAGTTCCATACTTTGAAGCAATCACTTCATACCAAAGGTGGTCGTTAAGAGTAAGACATCTCCACCACTATTTACAGAGCAAAACTTGATTAACCAGTTTGATTTTTCTAATCTCAAACCCCCTTCCTTTTTAGGCATACATACTCTATCTGAGCGAAGGAAATGAAACTTCTTCTTCTCCACAGAGGACCCCCACAGAAACTTCTCCAAACTTCTTTGTTTTTCTCTCTTGCTGCGTGTTTCACTCTCTCTCCTCCCGTGTTTAAATAAACACCTCTCTCTTTGTTCCCATGTTTATCCAAACACCTCTCTCTCTCTCCTTTTGATAACCTCTTACCACTAAGCATCTCTCTTCTCCCGTGTTTATCCAAATAACTCTATCTCTCTCTTCCTATGTTTATCCAAACACCTCTCTCTCTCCTCCCGGTAACCTCTCTCAACCAAACACCTATGTGTTTACCCAAACACCTCTATTTCTCTCCATATATTTCATGTGCATTAGGAGAGAGAGTGAGGGAGCAGGAGGAGAGAGAGTGAGGGATTAGATATGGGAAGGACTGAGAGAGAATGAGTTTGGGGAGAGAAAAAGAGAGAGAGCCTTGGGAGAATGGCTTTTAGAAAAAACATGCCTTTTTAGATTTGTTTTGCCCAAAAAAAGTAGGTTTAAAATAGCTAAGGGGGTTAGAAAAAATAAAATCTACAATTTTTATACTCCAAGATATCTTTTAAAATGATAACCATGGGTCTATTGTGAAATGAAACCTAAAAATATGGAGGTATCGAGATATTTTCCCTTGAAAAATATGGGGTGGGCCACTGCTTTTTATTTTTAAATAAATTTATTTTTTTAAAAAATGCACTTACAAATAAAAATTTAAACAAAAAATAGTAAATAAAAAAAATATATTAAAAATTAATTAAATTGGTTCTCTAACAAAACCGGATAGAGCCAACAGATTCTTTCAGAGAACCACTACAAAGTGTTTTGGACCGGCTGGTTCAATGGAGGACACATCCGGATCTCGATATATTAATTCCCCATCTAGATTGGGCAATTCCGATCCAGATTGCTAAATTTCAAACACTGACATCTATTGTTGGGGAGAATATTTATGGGAGAAAATTTATGTAAGGCATCAACTTTATAATAATACAAGAATGTCATTTTAAAATTTAGCAGAAAATGTTATTCTGATTTGGAAACGCTCAAAGTAATCATCTTGATTTCGAGGTATATGGATATAAAAGCAAGGATTTCAAGTCCCAAAAATAATGTATTTTCTAACACATTATTTAGATAATCCATTTTCAAGACTTCTAACTAGTTATAGATTTGCTTGATCTGCACCATCTTTAAAACTTTAAATTTCATAATTAGGGGTAAATAAATGTTTAGGTCATCATAAGGTTTTCGGACATCGAAAATGCATCTTGTAGAATTTGAAACGGTTCCTTACTTTGATTATTTAAAACTACGGTTCCTTACTTTGATTATTTAAAACTAACGCCTCGAAGTTATTGGTTTCAAAATAAAAAAAATGGACACCTCACGTAAACCATGGTTTAAAAAAATAAATCGGGGGCTGGGGTTGCCTATCCAAAAAACCATTCAGGTTTGATGGATTGGCTGTCCGGATCAGCAATCCAATGGTGTGAACTGGTTAATAAAAAATTTAAACAAATTAAAGGACAAAAAAATTATAATCTTTTTTAAAAAAAATAAAGAAAAGTGGACTCAATTTTGGCCGATTCCCTTACAGAACTGGCAGAACCGCCGGTTCTAAAGGGAATCGGTTGATAATTTGCAAGAACCGTACCATTTCCTCTGGTTCTCGATTTAGAACGACAGGTTCCAATCCGAATCACAATTGTTTTGCAGGGTTTCGAAGAAAGTGGAAATAGTATGCGTTTGCTTCGATTGGTGAATAAAAGTGGGCACAATAAAACGAGTTTGCTTAATCGGAAAAAGAAATTATTTTTTAGGATCATTTTATCAAAAACGTTTATTTGCTCGGATCGACTTTGGGGAGAAAGTGGGACTTTTTGGGGCCTTCAAAGAGCGTTCCTATTTGGGCACGTTAGCTCTGTGGAGAAAAGGACTCGAATCTTTTCTTCTTGTTGAACTGCTACATTTCCATGATTATTCTCTTGCTTATTATTGTTGGTAATGAGGTTGGGGCACAGGTGGTTAGGGAGGTGGATCTCAAAATGTCCAATTCTCCATTTCCATTATTAACATTATCAAGAAAAAAAAAAGTGGCGATTACTCTAACAACCTATTAAGCTATTTGCCGATCTTTTTCTTTTCTTTTTCTTTGGATAGACCAGAGGGGAATATACATGCTTCTTTCTGTTTTTAGTTTTTTTTTTTTTTGGATAGACCTGTGGGGAATACAAGCTCTTACTCATTTATAGAAATAGTTAGTCGTTTTTAAAAGCTTAAGTAGGATGAAAACTTAGACCGATAGTCGAGACTCATGTGCTACCACCACAACCTCAACCCCATTCCCCAGCGAGTCGACAATCTTGCCCTATATCCTATGCATTTTTGAAAGATGCATCATACCTGTTTAGGTGTCAAAGAATACTCCTAAACTGGTGAAAAAGCTCTCTCATTCATCAGACTTTCCAGGCTCTCTCATTCAACAAACTTTCTAAGGGCCCTCAGTATTGCTCTCACAATTGCCTTTAGTACTAATGTCACTTCTCACTCGAGTATAACCTTTCTAACATGAATATTAAACATCTCACCCACCCCCCACCCCCCTCTCTTCTCTCTCTCTCTCAGCTTGGATTACATATTTGATCTAGAGAACAAGATTGGGATTTTTTTTTATTTTTTATTTTTAATGTAAAATTTTGGGATAAGATGAGTATCCTCTAAAGATAAGGTTTGAGTTTCAAGTCTTTAATTACCTTGACCTGATTACCCAATGGTTCATAGGTCTCTCTTGGGTCAAACATGTGATTTTTTCTTTTTCCGAAGGATAGATCGTTTGCTAGGTAAGATCCTCGAAATTTACATCTAAGAAAAGTTTTAGTTAACAATAGCCAGAAGATTTATGCTCCAATGGGAGTATATTGTCCATTTGCTTCCTTGGATAAGACCCAATCAAGAAGTAATTTTAGGACCCCAAAATTTGGGTATGTAGCTTTCTTAACCCATAGACTAATCTCAATAAATAAAAAAAACTCCCTAATTGCACTCTTTTATGCACTTGAAAATAACAATATCTTAGAGATTGTCCAATATTTGTAGGGTAAGATCTAAGCGTTAGAAAACTCAAAATTAAATTTCTTTATGTGAAATAGCCATAAAGTGATTTTTAAGTGTTTTTGCAAAATTTCAGATTGCAAAACTCCTCCCAAGTCGATCCTTTCACCAAGGGAGTAGATGTGTCCTCTATGGTCTCGCGGGAGCACAACCTTTTGGCAAATATTTGAAAGCACCGTTGGATCAGGATAAGGTCCACCTTCCTATTCTTTGTTTGACAGAGTTAACAAATATTTCATTTAAGAAATGAAACTTCAGGTCCACCCTCCTATTCTTTTGAATATTAGTAAGGTCCACTTTCTTAGTTTTCCCATATTTATTTATTTACATTGAAACGTTATCCAAATGACTTTTTGAAACCGTGGGCTGCTTATTTTAAGTCAATACATGCATCAAACACAACAAATATTCAACAAAGATTTCCACTTTTTGATTGTCTCTCTCTCTCTCTCTCTCTCTCTCTCTCTCTCTCTCTCTCTCAAGCACATGAACCCTCATGCCTGGAATCAAGAACTAAGTTTTTGTATTTTATAAACCAAACCCTGTATTTTTTTTATTTCTCTTTCATCATATCTCACTTCTAGTTTAATTTCTCTCTCATCATATTTTGCTTTTTTTTTTGTTTTAGAGAGAGTGGATAAAGTGGGAGGCCCAAACCGGGTGCACTTTCCAAAGGCCGGTTCACATGAGCACAATGGATCTACATTACTCACGAAAACCCTTAT